TATGTTTATATACATACACAAATATGTATATTTGAAATGAAAGACATTGGTTCACATGGTTCTGGGGGCTGGCAAATCTAAAATCCGTACATCAGGCAACAGGGTGGAAATGCTAGCAGTATTAGGCCCCAAACCTCAGGTTTAAGACCTTCAATTAGTTGAATGAGGTTCACCTTTATCATGGAGGGTGATCTGCTTTAGTAAACTTAATTGATCTGCATGCCACTAACATGTCAAGGGTTTTGTCTTGCCTGGATCCACAAAGTTCACAGAAGTATCAGTCAAGAGATCAATGATGGCAACATATGTACAAATACGCTTGATACAATTGATGGATGGATTGTTATAAGAGCTGTAAGAGCCCCCAATAAAATGATCTTTTAAAAAGAAAAAGAAAGGACCCCTATTGATGTTGGAAGTCTTCCCCAAAAGCAATGTCATGACATCGCAACAAATTTACGTGATATGTACTATCGTTGACATCTGTAGCTGCAGGTGCTTGCCATCTCAAGATAAACGAGCCCAATGTAAGAACTATTGTAAAAGACCAAATGTGTAAAGCTATTGCTTTGTGGACATCAACAGAGGGAGGCACCTAATTTTAACCACAAAAATTGCATTAAAAATGTGCTGAAAAACTTGGCTTATACACGAGTATATACGGTATAAACCAAGAATACAGTACCCAGAAAAACTATCCTTCAAGAATGAGGGTAAAATTAGACGTTCCTAGATAACAGATGGAGATGATGGAAAAATTTGGTGATCATCTGCCAAAATGAGGCCAAGGGCTGACTGAACGAACAGACCATCAATGCTTATATGTATGTTCAAGTTGATGTTGAACCTTGAGTATACTATATCTGAATTTCAAAAACATGTCAAGAATAGATCTGACTCATTGAACAGTAATGACAGAAGACCTGATGAGCTATGTGATGACATAAAACACCTAATACATGAAGCAAGCAAAACCTGTTCAAAAGACAGGAAAGAGAGGAAAAACCCAAGCCAAAGTAAGAAGAGACTTTGAAACTTTAACTTCAGCATAGAGTAGCTAAAAGCAAATGGAAGAAATGAAGTAAAAGAGCTGAACAGAATATTTCAAAGGGCAGCTTAAGAAGACAAAGTATTATAATGAAATGTACATAAAAATCAAAAGGGAAGGACAGACTCAGTGTTTATCAATCTGAAAGAACTGAAAGAAAAAAAAAAAGTCCAAGCCTCAAGTTGCAATATTGAGAGATTCTACAGGCAAAATATTGAACAAGATGGAAAGAATACACAGTCACTATAACAAAAAAAGCTTCTTTTCCCACCATTTCAGAAGATAGAGCATGATCTAGAACTGATAGGCCTGAAGGACGTCCAAGCTGCACGGAGGCATAAGTGCAAAAACAGGGCTCTAGAGGGAATACCAAGTGAAATGTTTCAACAAGCTGGGGAAGCCGTGGAAGCACTCACTAGTCTATGCCAAGGAATTTGGGAGACAGCTATGTGGCCAACCGATTGGATGAGGTCCAGATTTGAGCATACCAAAGAAAGGTGGCCAACGACCTTGCTGCTAACCCACCCAGCAACCCACCAACCGGCACCAGAAAAGTTCCTTCATAAAGATAAAGATCGCTAATAATGACAAGTATAAGAGCTAACAAGACAAGCAAAACAATACGCATGTTCATTCATAGATAAAATTTCCTCAAAGTGTCCAGGTAGAATATCTAGGAAGAACATTGTCATGAATTATGATACTCCGTTCACTCCCTGCCATCAAGTGAATCTGACTGTAAGTGACCATATAGGGCCCAGGAGTACTGATTGTGTAAGTTGTTATTGGAGCAGAAAGCCTCACTTTTCTCCTGCCAAGCAGCTGGTGGTTTCAAACTGCAGACCTTATGGGTTAGAAACCCAACTTAGAACAAACCCACTACACCAGCAGTTCTCAACCTGTGGGTCTCGACCCTTTGGGGGTGGGGGTGGAGTCAAACGACCCTTTCACAGGGGTCGCCCGATTCCTAACAGTAGCAAAATGACAGTTAATAAGTAGCAACGAAAATAATGTTATGGTTGGGGTGGGGGTGGGGGGTTACCACAACATGAGGACCTGCGACTACACCGCCAGGGCTCCTAATGACTGACAAGAACTAATTAAATGCTCTGTGAGAGCAATCAGTAAGGGACTGGATTTGAGTCCAAAGACCTGGTGCGCAGGGGTGGAGGTTGGGGCCTCTGCCGGTGTACAGTGAGGCTGAGCTGACTCGAGGGTCGCGCTCCCATAATGGCAGACCACACTGAAAATCCAAAGTCCCTGCGAGCGAGTGGATTCCCACGCCCAGCGACCCGACAGGGCAGGGTAGAACTGCCTCTGCACCAAAGCCTCCTCTGCCTCCCAAGTAGGGACTGGTGGTTTCAAACCGGTGACTTTCCAGCTAGCAGCCCAACGCATAAGCACTCCTCCACCAGGGCACGGACTCACTGTCCTCGAGTTGACGCCGACTCCCTCACAGAGACCCTGTGTGTTTCTGTGATTGTAACTGTTGGCGGGAGCACAGAGCCTCGTCTTTCTCCCCGGAGCGGCTGGTGGGTCCCGACTACTGGCCTAGCCAGGTAGCAGCCTAATGCGTAGTCACCACGCCATCTGGGGCCCTTTGCACGCAGCCGAGAAACGCCGTTTATCTCGCGATGGCGCCCCTCGGCGCTTCCGGCCGCAGGGGCGGGACTTCCGGCCGGCTTGAGCCGCGCTTCCGGCCACTGCGGGCGGGACCGTCCAGGAAGCGGCGGTGGCGCGGGAACTGCCGAGACCCGAACGGCGCTAGTCGGCCATGGCGGTGAACCTGAGCCGGAACGGGCCAGCGCTGCAGGAGGCCTACGTGCAGGTCGTCGCCGAGAAGTCCCCGACTGACTGGTGAGCGCCGGGGCGAAGGCACCCGCGGGGACAGCTTGGGAGCGTTGGGCGCGGCGCCGCCCAGGGATTTCCACCCGGACAAGTCGGTGGGATGGGGGTCTCCAGGGAGTGGGGCGCGATTGCCGAGAGGCGCCGCCGCCGGCGACCAGGTCTCCGGAGCTGCTGCCCCACCCGTCCTTATCGGTTGCTCGGCCCAGTGTGGGCCATTTAACCCCCAGCTTGCGAGGGCCCTGGTGAGTCCCCTGGGCGCGCCCCTTCCTGCTCGCTCAGCACCGGGTGTTGGCTCCTCCGATTTTCATGCCGATTTTTTGACCTGGCTGTGTTTGCTTCTCCCCTCCAGTCGGGGTAACTACTGGACAAGTGAACCCGCCACACCCCTCCCTAGGAAGGCAGCAGCAGCTGTATCGGTTTCTTTTCAGAACTGGACTTTTGAAAGCGGACGGGAACCTTCCCCCGGAATCTCCAAGCCTTTCTCTGCTAGAGCCGAGGGGAAGCGATTGAAAAGAAGGCTGACTACCTATTGGGGGAAGGTCCCGGCTTCCCCATGTTTCACTCTGCTGAGCAGCATTGAAAGCCATGGTCTGTGTGCACTCAGAGCTGGGCCCTGTCATTTTCTGCCATTTCCCCCTTTTGCTTAAATTCTTCTACCTGACCTGTTTTGAGCATTTCAGTTCTGAGAAATGGTGGACTAAAGCCTTGGGGAATAGAAACGCCTTGAAAACCAATTTGTGATGGGCCCACCCTCATCAAGACCCTGACTGCCCTTTTTTTAAGTCTGCCCCTGGTCCCAGGGTTTGTGTGCTAGGAAACCTCTTCCCATGTTGCCCGGGGCAAAAACTCTGAGCTTGCGTCTGAGGTATCTCCCTCCACTCATCTGGGGGTTGCTGCTTTTTCATTTCCTGTTTCTCTGTTGCCCGGATCTGAGTCGCTCTCACAAAGTGTACTGTTGTGGCATCAGGAAGTCACAGGCTTTTCTTTCACTTGAGCCATCTGAAGAAGAGCCTGCAGAGTCCCTGCTGAATGAATGTCCTGCCAGGCGTGGGGCCCTAAGTCGTCATTGGGTGCCCTGGACTACACTTAATGTAAAACTCTGCCCAGTAGCCAAACAATGCAACTTCTGTTTGGAAGGCATCTTCAATTCCAATCAGGGAAGGATATCATCTAACTACTCTGGTAGGGTTTCTCTGCCCTCTTTTTTTTAATAGTCCCTCTTAGGAAATTTAACCACCCATTATTCACAGTTATTTTTCAGGAGAGTCTCTACTATCTGTCTGTTCTCTCCTCGCTCCTGCTCCCTTAGGCCCCCGAGACTCCAGACTTCATCGAAAAATATCTCTATACTGAGTGTCCCATCCTCACATGGGTGTGAGGGCCACTTGGCTTCAGCCCCTGGAGGCGTCTTGGTCCCTGTGCAGACCTGCCCAGCGATGCATATTGCTTCTTCAGATATTCTTGATTAGCCTTGTGTAGACTTGGGAGTTTTCCAGCCTCCTAATGGATCTCTCTCCCAGTTTTCTTTTCCTCCTCAGTCCTCTCAAACTGCTACTGATTTGGTACAGTGCATGCACCCCACTTCAAGGCCTGTCATGTTTCCTGTCTTGCCTTAGAGTTGTCTGCCATAGCTCCTGCTCTGGAGCTTACGGCTCCCGTCCCCTCTCTTTCCCTTGTTAGGGTACTTACTATACTGAGCCTTTTCTCCTATCCCGCCCAGCCAGAACCACACATCTCTTATGACTTCTTCCTAGACTGCTGTGCCCCTGCCACAGTACTACTGGTTGTACCACTCAGTGGCACTGACCAAAGCCACCTAGGCCTCAACTTCCAGGCTATCATCGAACCTATCAGAATATCTGTTCATGCTTGAGCTATTGAATTGTATGATATGTGAAGTTCATGCCAATAAAACTTTTTAAAATTCAAATATTTTGTGATAGGTCCCCCACTCACTGGCTAGAAATCTATTTAGATCATGCCACTTCCCTGTTTAAAAATCTCCAGTGGCTTCCTGTTACACATTCAATAAAACCCAGGTTCTCCAACCAGCCGACAGGCCCTGAGTGGCCCAGCTCCTGCCTCTCTCACTTACCACCCCTCCTGCGTAAACTGGCCATGCTGACCTCTTTCTGTTCCTCAGACTTACAAGCTTGCTCCACCTCAGAGCCCTTGCTCTTGCTGCTGGCTATACCTGGAGTGCCCTTCTGAATTGCCCCAGGTGATGCCCCAAATTTCACGTCCTTGCTCCAAGGTTACCTTCTCAGAGCAGCTGCCCTTGACTCCTAGCTATTTCCTTCAAAGCGCACACCACTGTAGGAAACGTTCTTTCCGACTGTGCTCCTCACTCAAAGGGATGAGATGGGCCCTGTATGTTTGTCCATGCCTTGTGCACACTACTGTGTACAGTCATGCTCAGATGAGCAGTAGACGAGGGGGAGGGGAGCAGAGGACTAGAGTATATTGGAGCAGGCACAGACCATCTCCAGCGAGGTGACTCTTAAAGGATTTCCTGCCCTGAGCAGCTGCCTGATGTCTTTCCAGCCTCTAGGGGGGCCTTTGCAGGCATGGGAGCTACCTAACAGTTACTTGTGTGTTTATTCTGCCACTCATTAGAAAGTGACGTTCTGTGGCCAGGAAGTTCTGCTGTATCCTCGCTACCAGTAAGTCGGGGAGACTTCAAAACTTCACGAGAAAATGGAATTCTAACAGTTGTATGAGCCCCTAATAAAATGTTAAAAAAAAAAAA